ATGAGTAAAATGAAGTAGAAGGCAGTTTGGAAGAAAGAAAAGGAGAGAGAAATGAATGAGAAAGGTACTGTAGCTAGCAGATGTCGGAGAAAGTTGTTTTCTTAGGCAAAAAGTTAGGAGAGTTTACGACTCACGTATCGCCTGCGCTATTGAATTGTGAAGGCCAAGTTTAGTTTTTACAGTGCGTAAAAACCAGACGTCCGCACTCGTAGTTTTAGAAATTCGGCCACACTATACTGTACAGTATACTGTCATACAAATACGAGATCTTCGGATAGTCTCACTGTGTGATCACCCGTCTACAAGTTCATTGCGACGTTCGAGTCTCAAGCGTAGCAGTACTAAATAAACAAAGTAAACCAAAGTCTTGCGCAATCTATCACTTTGATCACTATCCCATAACAAACATCCCCAAAGTACGATTGGGGGGGGGGGGATAAAACTATGTTTCTGGAACAAAAGCAAGGATGTGTGGAAGTATTTGGAAAGCTATGATGTGGTCTGTCTGGTGGTTACAAACATGGTTAGAGTAGAGGTCGGAGGAGAAATTAAAAAGCAAGCTATCTGAAAAGTTTAACTGCTGGTACGTGCCTGCATTAAGAGAAAACAAAATGGAGGAATTATGCAAAAAAAGGGTTTGAGGTGAGAGTAGACTTCAGAAAGTGGAGTAATCAGATGGCAGAATTAAGGTTAGAGCGTAAGAAGAAAAGCTGGCGAATAGTAACAGTGTATAGCCAGAACACGAAGGAAATAATGCAGACAATCACAGAAGGGAGAAGAAGAAAAGAGAAGAAGGACGACTGATATTGGGAAGGGACTTTAACGCAAGAGTTGGAGAGGGAGGCCCATCCAAAGAAATGATGACAGAAGAGAGGGAAGAAAGAAAATCGAAGGATAAGAACGTAAATAGGGAGTGAAGGATGCTAATAGAGGGACTGAGGGGCAGAGGTTGGTTTATAGTTAATGGGATGCTTTGGGCGAGAAGGAGAATGGACATGTATAAGAGAAAGAGGGGTATCGGTGGTCGACCTTATAATTGCAAACACGGAATCATTTGAGAAGATAACAAATATGAAAGAAGGAGAGAAGGCAGAGTTGAACCACTTTTCATCCATTGGAAGTGGTGATAGGAGAGAAACGCATAGACGAGAAAGGAAGAACAGAGAAGAGTATGGCGATAAGAACGATTGACTGGTCGAAGGAAGGGATAGAGAGTTATCACAACCGTTGTAGAGAATGGAATGTTGAAGAGGAGGACGTGGAGGGTATATAGGAGGCATTAAAGCAGAAAATGAAGCGGTAAAGAAAGAGGCAAAAGAGGTAAAAGTCTGGGGAATGGAAGATAGGGCATGGCACAGTAAGGAGTGGATGGAGAGGGAGAGAGATTAGGAAAGGAATTAAAAAAACTAAGAAAAGGCAAGATAAACACAGAAAAGTATTGGGGCAAGAGAACGAAGTATAAGGAGCGATGCGAAAAAGAAGGGGAGAAGCACGAGAGGATGGAGGAAGAAAAGATAAGGATGATTAGGACGGAAAGCGAAGCTTGGAACAGAAGAAGGAAACAAAGAGAAGGAATTTACAAAAGCATTGAAATGAAAAATTGGATGTCGCATTTCATGGAACTATTAGAAGGACACAACGATACGCAAGAAATTAGGATACAACCGGAGCACAATGAGGAGGATGAAAAAACTGAAAGCGAGGAAATAAGAAGAGGTAGTAAGACAGCTGCTTAAGTTAAAGAGAGAGATACCAGAATGCGACGAGATACAAAATGAGGCATGGAGGCTCATGCCAATGGAAGTAGAAGTATTTCATAGGCTACTTAACAAGATATGAAGGGGAGGTGGAATTCCACGAGATGCCTATGGAAGTAGGAGAAATATTGCTCAAGCTACTCAATAAAATATGGATGGGAAGTGGAATACCACGGTACTGAAGAAAGGGGATAATATTCAAGAAAAGAGATAAAGATAAACTCAAAAATTACAGAGGAATATCGCTACTGGTCACAGCATACAAAATATATGAAAGCATTTTCAATGAAAGGATGAAGGAAATAAAGGGAAAACTAGCGGAAGGGCAATTTGCGTTTAGAGCGAGGAGAGGAGCCAGCGATGCCATATACAGTGGCGAGCATATAAATAGGGAAACAATTTTGTCAATATTTAGCAAAATATAGGTTTGTGTTTATAACTTTTTTGCCTTTACCTTCTTTGGCTTTCGATTACTCGTATTTTAAGCTAAGCTTTAATTTAAACACACTTTGCAAATCTCAGTTGAGCTTCAGCTCTGTAAGTGGTAGCATTATTAACGAGCAGCCAAATAAGGAAATCACAGTTCTTCATTCCCAGCGAGTATTTCGATAAGAATATTTGAATATTGTGTACAGATACGCTAAATAGTTATAAATAATAATGGGGAATATCAGTTTTTTCATATAGAAATCGATCGTGGACGCCACATTACACTGGCAGAGAGTCTTGAAATTTTCCATTTACGAAATAAAAAATTGACGCTTCGTGAAATTTCTAATCGTCCTAGAATTTCAATTAATGCCGCTAATCAAGCACTAAAGCACATAAAAGTAAACGGAAGTGAAAATGACACTTTGCGTAAGGAACGACCACAGGAAAAACAACTCCACGATTGGACAATACACCATCTGTCAGAAGCAGATCGATTTCAAACTGCAGTTGATATTCATCGCGAAATTTTGACTTGAATGAACACACAAATTGGTGTACATACTGTCCGACGACGTTTAGCAGAATTCGGATTAAAAGGTCGCGTTGCACGCAAGATACCGCTTATAAGCCAAAAAAATCGAGATGTTCCTTGGCGAAAGCAAGATTAGTTTTCGCCAAGGAACATCTTCTCTGGACAAGAGATCAGTAGTCCAGAGTAATATTTACAGATGAATCCAAATTCAACTGTTTTGGGTCGAATGGAAGAATTTACGTAAGACAAAGAAAAAGTGAGGAGGAATAACCTGAAGTGCATAAGATTGACAATTAAAAGAAAAGGGGGTTCTGTTATGGTTTGAGCTGGAATGACTATAAACAATCCAATTTGTCTTTTTATATAAATGGCATTATGGATCAGCATCAATATGTTGACATTCTGGACAAAAATTTAACACCCTTTGCTGAAGAAAACTTACCAGAGGACTGGATATTTCAAGCAGACAATGAGCCTAAACACACGTCTAAGAAGGCTAAACGATTTTTGGAGAAACATAATGTCAACCTCATGTGTTGGCCGACACAATCACCCTATTTGAACCTCATTGAACATCTCTGGAATTGTATATAGAAGGAAATTAAAACAGTAAAACCTTCCAATTTAAATAATTTGTACACTGTAATCGAAAATGCGTGGAAAAACGTTTCATCCGACCAATGTGATCACACTTATTAATTCTATGCCTTGTCGCTGTGTGTGCTGAGGTGATGATAAATAATAAAGGTGGTCCAATAAAATATTCATTACTAGTTATCAATATGTTGTATAAGTAAGGAAATTTATATTTAAAAAATACAACAAGTTACTTTTTGGAACAAAATTTGTGTTTCCTTATTTAACTGCTCGTCCAATATTCCTCGTTTTCAACAATGCATTTTTTTTTTTTTTTTGTTAAAAATCAAACAATGTTAATTATACAAACTATATTCATAAATGAAGTTAAGGAATCGTATTTTCAACATGTGCAAACATAATAGGAGAAATATTAGTATCATACCATTAGGACACTGCATTAAATGAGAAATACTTTTTCTCTATTTATATGCTCGCCACTGTACATCCTGAATTAATTAACAATGAATTAAGTAAAAAAAGAGGAAAGCTGTTTGTCTGCTTCGTAAATTTGAAAGCGGCATTCGACAAAGTCGACAGGAGACCACTGATGGAGAGATTGGAAAGAAAGCGGAGAAGGAAGAGAAAGGAAATGAATGTAGAGGGAAACTTAAGGAGGAAAATAACAAAAATATACAGAGAAATAGGCAATATGGTGAAGGAGGAAAGAACAGAAGAATTCTGGACAACAAGAGGAGTGCAATTAGTTATTATTATATTATTTTATATATATATATATAATTATTATTATTAGTTATTATTATAGCAATTAAGTGCATTTTTGTCGGATTTAGAAGAGGATATGAATAAGGTGCAGGTGGGAGGAGTTGTGATAGGAAGAGAGAAGGTACAGACGACAATAAATGTGGATGATATCATGCTTGTAGCGACAAAAGTGGGGATGAAAGGAATGTTGGGAAAATTAAGGAAGTATGTAAGGAGGAAAGTGAGTCGTGTTTTCCAAGAGTCCGGAGAAAAGAGGGATTATAAAGTCACAGTAATGCAGGTAGTGCTAATCTAGATAAGACGATTCAAACGAGAAAGAGCGGAGAAGACTTGGGAACGAGAATTCGAAAAAAGAACGTGGAGCCAGATATAAAGAAAGCGAGAATATTCAAGAGGAAAAAGTAGAGGTTAGAAAAAAAGAGGTAGAAAGATATGGCGACAAGAGCAACACCAAGTAGGAATAAGGGGATGATGGAGAAATTTGTACAGTCTAAGGATATGTAGCGACCGTTACACCTCCAAAATTAACATCAACGACAGCTACACAATCGTTCTGTCAAAAAGTACGTTTCCGGTAAATTGACATTTAACATTTGAATATTGTAAACTGACAGTTTATTTTTATTATTACCATGAAGGTTATTACCATGTTTACTTGTTAATAGAGATGTATATATAGACTCCATGTTAGAATTAATTATTCATTCCTCAATTATCATTTGTAGAAAACAGTTATCTATTTTTGCTTTATAATTTATTATAATTTATTAAAAATTACTCGAGTCACGAAGTTCTTATTTATTTGTAGTATTGTTAAATTACCCTTATAATCGCTACAAAATTGGTGACCCCGACATAATCCGAAAAGAAGAATTTTGTTATACATTTGTGTTATAAAAAAAAAAAAAAAAAAGAGAAAAATGGCCACACCACCAATCCAAGCTCGTATACCAATTGCTGAAGAAGCCTACATTCCACCGGTCGTAGAAGCTCCGACAATAGGTGCAATGACCCCTCAACATCTACCACCATTTAACAGAGAAAATTTAAAATTATGGTTTCTTCAAGTGGAAGCAGGTATGCGATCAAGTAAATTGACGGGCGATACATCTAAATTCGATCATATTGTGTCACGCCAACCTTCGGACGTGGCCTTATTAATTCAAAATTTAATTGAAATGCCACCAGAAATAAATAAGTATGATACTTTAAAAAATAAACTTTTGCAACTTTTTGGCAAATCAGAAGAGACTACATTACGGCAACTTCTCAGAATTTGGGCGACGAAAAACCATCTCATTTTTTACAACGTATGAGAAATATGGTAGATAGAAATGTCCCTGATTCAGTCTTAAAAACTGTTTTCTTAGAACAAGTTCCACCTTCATTATACGACGTTCTGATAGTTAATTCAGATGCTGATTTAACAACGTTAGCATTACTTGCGGACCGAGTAATGGAATTTCGGCCAAATTTTATCGCAAGTATGAGTAAGTCTCCTTGGAAAACCGGAACGGATAAGGACGATTCATCAATTCAATAACAACTAGCAGAAATAACTCGAAGAATGGCAAATATGGAATCCAATATGTCCAAAAGAAGACCTTTTCAAAGACGTTTTCGATCCAAATCCCGGGGTCGAAGATCTTTATCAAGAAATCGCGCACCTTCAATTGAGAGAAGAGGAGGACTGTGTTACTATCACTACAATTTCGGCGCAAGAGCATTTAAATGTAAAGCATGTTCGTGGCCATCAAATACAACAAATAATGGAAACACCGCTGTTCAACAAGCGGAAAACTAAAGGCACGTCCAACAGTTTCGACGACACTGGGAGGCGTGCAAAGTAGTCGTCTAATAATTCAGGACAAAAGGAATAATTTATCATTCTTAATTGATACCGGGGCTGATATTTCCGTACTACCGCTCAGTACGGCAAAAAGGAAATATCACCCCTTCTGATTTTAAGGTATATGCTGCTGATGATACGCCGATATCGACCTACGGTGTCAGAACGCTGATTCTGGACCTCGGATTGCGGCGTCCATATATTTGGAAGTTTACCGTTGCTAAAATTCAACAACCAATTATTGGTGCAGATTTTTTAAAATATCATGGTCTTCTGGTTGATCTTAAAAATAGACGAATAATAGACGACTACACGAAAATTCAACAAATAGAACAGCTAAGCACAGTTAAACATTCAACAATTACAACATTAAACAAAAAACACAATAATGAAAAATATATAAAACTATTAAAACAATACATTGACATAACGAGATCAACACAAGGACTAGAAACACATAAGATACATCATCACATCATTACTTCAGGAAGACCATGTGCAGAAAGACCACGCAGGCTAGCATCAAATAAATTTAAATTATTATTAATACAACAAGGAATTTGTAAACTCTCTTCTAGTGAATGGGCTAGTCCACTGCTAGTTCACTCTTCCTAAGAAAAATGGTACTTGGAGGATGTGTGGTGATTATCGTAAATTAAATTTACAAACAGTACTAGATAAATATCCTATACTTCACATTCATGACTTTACTCACGCGTTGGACTGGAAAAACAATTTTTACAACTTTGGAAAAAGCTTATCATCAAATCCCGATGGCGCCAAAAGATCGAGAAAAAACTGCGGTAATTACGCCATTTGGACTTTTTGAATATAATGTTATGCTTTACGGTCTAAAAAATGCAGCACAGACATTCCAACGTTTCATGGATGTGGTAATCAGAGGTTTGGATTTTGCATTTTGTTATATTGATGATCTTCTTATCGCCTCCACCAATGAGTTTGAACATTATGATCATTTACATAAAATTTTTGAAAGATTAAAACGGTATTTCTATTAATTTAGCAAAATACATTTTTGGTGCATCGACTGTACAGTATTTGGAGTACCAGATTGATCAGAAGGGAGCCTGTACCAGAAAAAATTAATGCTATTTTAAATTATAATAAACCAAAAACAATTGTTGAATTAAGACGTTTTCTAGGAATGATCAATTTTTATCGAAGATTCATTAAAAATGCTGCTGATATTCAGGCTCCTTTGAATGCTTTTCTTAAAAGTGCTAAGAAAAATGATAAAAGAGTAATTGTTTGGACAGAGGAAACTAATACTGCATTTAAAAAATGTAAAGACTCGTTGGCGGATGCAGCACTATTGGTTTATCCAAAAATTAATAGTCCACTACTTCTCATTACTGACACTTCAAATTTAGCTTGTGGGGCTGTACTTCAACAAAAAGTAAATGATTCATGGGAACCAATAGCTTTCTTTTCTAAAATATTTTCACCACAAGAAATTAAATATAGTACGTATGATCGAGAACTTACAGCAATTTATAAAGCAATAAAAAATTTTAAACATTTCTTAGAAGGACGAGACTTTACAATACAGACTGATCATAAACCATTAACATTTGCATTTCATCAAAAATCAAAAAAAGCCTCACCAAGACAATTATGACAATTAGACTATATTGGACAATTTTCAACCAAAATTACCTACATTTCGGGATCTGATAATGAAGTGGCAGACGCTTTATCACGGCTGGACGTTATTAATATGCCAGTCATGGTCAGCACTTCTGAGCTTGTCGAACAGCAAGTAAAAGATCCAGAATTATCACAAGTTTTAAAAAGTACAGTCTTACAAATAAAAAAGTTAAAAGTAGACAATTCAAATAATTCAATTTACTGTGATATTTCAACCGAAATGATTAGGCCATATATTCCAGTAGTGTTGCGTAGGAAAATC